ATTCTCCACGTGAAATATGCATGTTAATTATTTATCGACGTATTAGAATAAAACATATTGTTCAACTTGGAAATATTTTGTAATGTTCATCTATCATGTCTTTGTTCACGTTTAATTACATGATCCAGCAGCAGCAATGGTTGTGCCCTGCTATCTAATTTTTAATTATTGTTTATATTAATAGTTATATTACAGTAGATATGTAAAACAAAACAATGTTTGCAAGGGAATGTCAATGAAGAAAATCTGATTCAGTCTGAAAAACCGCATTCAGCAGGAATGAGACATTTTTCTTCTTGAATATTGAGCACGACTAATATCTAGAATTTAAAAACAAGAGGAAAAAATGAAACATGAAAATATATTTACTCTCAATGTAAACATAATTGAATATGATCTACTGTACAGTGAGGAGCATGGTGGCGCAATGGTTAATATTGCTGCCTTGTGGTGCTGGGGCCCTGGGGTAAATTCTGGACCTCATGCTCCGGTTTGCTCCCACAGTTCAAAAACATACTGGTAGGTTAATTGTGTTTCTGTGTTTGTGTCTGTTCATCTGCTTTGCAATGGACTGGCATCCCATCCATGGTGTACCCTGCCTTGTGCATGTTACTTGCCAGGATACTGTAGGCTCCATCTTCCCAGAGACATTGAATTGGGTGAAGTGGTTAGAAAATGGCTGGATGATTTGCTGTTATTTTTGACCTGTCATCTCAAGTTATTATTCATGACGATTCTTTATTGACAAATAAAGAGGCCTTTTGATCTGACAATTCAATAATACACTATTCTAAATGGAGTATTAATGATTGTTTTTGTATCTGCCTGCCCCACAGTACAAATTTGTAATATCGGGGAGGAAAAATAGACAAGAAGAAGGAGTTATTCTAAAAATGATGGATTCTCCCTCAACCCATATGCTGATGTGAGGTAAAAGGGATGAGCATTGGAGAATTCTACAGAACCACCAGATGGACAATGTATAGTCTGCTGCAGTAGGGACCTGACTGAATATCCCCAACTAAACCTAGGAACTATTGGGAAAGTGCCGTGTTCAGGCCATACAAGGCATTGGAAAATGTAGAAGCATTCAAAGTTTTCTCAGGAAAACTTGGAAAGAACCTTAGAAAGGAAGACAGGGAAAAAGCCAAGGCCTGGATATCTAAAGTATCTTGGATACAGCCGATACGGTAAAATACCCTTGTCCAAGGAAGCCATGACCTCAGTTTTAAACCACCACTGCTTAAGAGTGAAAGAAACGTTTCTTTTTTATATATTACACTAGGATTTATCAAATTATCCTTAATTTTAGGATTTTCATTTTAATTCTTTCATGATCATGTTTGCTAGAAATAGTATGGTAATAAAACATACAGAACTCTGTCTCTGTTTAATTCAGAATCTTTTCAGAATCCTTAAGAATCTGGGTGTAGTTAATTAATATTTAAATACATACAGTACACAAATAAATGGAGAGGTCTTAATTATTGTTAATTTTATAACCATATATTTTTATTCTGACCATATATTTTACCATGTTGCACAGAGCACTGTATCAGGAAAGAATTATATTCCTAATTTCTGTGTGTCCAGCATTGACATTGCCAGTCTGACATTGCCCTTAGAACATCTTTTTGAATGCTCAAATTGGCATAGTTGCAGAGAACTCAAGTTCATGCCCTGCCTGCTCTGCTGAAATGTAAACCAATATTGTTTTCATACACTGGCAGGCTTAGACTGACTATTTGATTATGCTGACAATAAATCACTAGGTCTTTAGGTTTAACAAAGTGAACAAAGTAGTGTTTAAAATCATTTTGATAGTCCCATTTTAAGAGAGTGATAGAGGAAGTGCTACTACTTGTCTTCAACCACTGTACCTGTTGACTCATGCAGGGGTTATACTGTAACTGCAAGAGTATAAGAGTTTCTCTGAAGTTAAATTAATTTAGTAAAATACTGCATACTGTACATAATGATTAAACAATCATTCACATGGGCTGTACCATTTTACAAAAAAGTTCATAATTAAACATTCATAATTATGATAATAAGAGGAGAAGAAGCTTGATAGAACAAACAGGATTTAAAGGATCACTGAAGAGCAAATGCTCAGTTTCCACAAAGCTTTTATCCAAGTGCTTCTCATTAACATCAAACAGGGTTAGATTGTCATCTTCTGTATTCATTCTGGCTGGTTTGAAAACAAACAACTCTGTTCTAGTACCCAAAACCTACAGCTGGATTCTATGTTTTCACTGAAGACATAGTATAAAAGGTTTCTCTGAAATGTTTGCAAAATATTCTTTTTTTTTAGCTGTACCGTTGCAAATGCAACATGCCAGGGAATACTATTTCAAAGAGGAGAGGGCATTGCCAAAATGTCAGAGGAATGTCAAGAAGGTAAAGTGAAAAACATCAGGGAAACACTTTCAACACAATATGACAATCGTTGGTATACAAATGCATTTGCACTCATAGACATTATTTGACAGTGAGTCAGCTTAATTACAGTGTGGAGAGCAGATTGATTCATACCATGAATTTTGCAGTCACAACCTTGGTTCTTTCAAAGACATCAAGTATCCAATATTGAAAAATCAATCAATACACTACTCAATATTAAAATTTATAGAAGAGTTATTTTTTCCTGTTGAGCTACTGTATCTGCAGAATTGGAGAATTAAAATAGATTTGATGGGATTAGTTTAATGTCCCTTGATCACAACTAAAAAGAAACAACTTGCCATAAAGGACCAAATGGATGTGCTGTTTTAATGTCAGCAGTGATATGGGCCTTCAGAGGTATAAAATATGCAGAGATTATGCCAGACTCCACTCAGCATCCTTGTCATACAGAATACACAACTGCAATGGTTCTCTATGTAACAATCTGAGTACCAAACACAGGGTACTTAGACTGGACAAGGTATTGTATTTTAAGATTTTATCAAATGAATAATGAGTTTTTATTATCAACCACGAGATAGATGAAGCTAGTAATGAGGGATTACATCCAGTTACAGTACATTGGTATTCAGACATATCACTTTAAAATGAATGAGCTTGATAGTCAAGTGTTTTGCTTCACTGTGCACCTCTGTGGTAGGGGTTACCTTTACAATTAAATGAATAAATCCTGGTAATATTGCCATTCTATACCACCTCAGTAATACTGTTACAAGCACAGCTAGTCCTAATTAACTCCAATTACCCAATTACAACACCACACCCCTTCCCTCACTACTTAAACCCTGTGCTCACCTTGTCCACTGCTCAGTTTTAGGCATCTTTCTGCCTCCTGAGCTCTTGTTACGTACAACCTTTGACATCTTGTGCTCTGGGACCTCACCTATTGGACCCCTTTCCAGCTTGTACCTTTTGACCATTCTTTCGTCTCGCCCTTCTCAGATTAAATGTGATAAATACTGATAAAATACTGTATTACATAAGAAACAAGACACTGTGTTATACCAGTGTCTACCATGCATCTGTGCCATTATTTACATTTCACAGTACTAAATGCACAATAATATGGCCATGACTATTTAGTGAAGAAATCTTAGTTTATGCCCCAGTAGTCTATGTATACCTCTCAAATCTTAGACTGCTGAGATAACTGCTGGGTCATGGTGACATCAATGAGGGATTCACTTATGGTTCAGTCAGCGCTGAACTTCCTGCATATCACTGAAGAGCCTGTAGTGTGTCTAAAGATGAATGGCTTGATGAGTAGGGGGCATACGAGGAACCTATCTGCACTTCCTTTTTCTCCCTATGTGGGTACAGGGGTCATCACTGTGAACCAAGACAAAGACACAACTGGATATTCCAAATTGGGTAGTACAGTATATAATAAAAATAATTGTTAATTATAAATTTATAAAACAAAATCAAAAAGCAAAAGGGTATACATTTATCAGTGTGCAATCTCACCTTTTTAAAGTGCATCATTACAGAATAGGCACCACTGGCATAAAACGAAATGAAGATTTACTTTGATTAATGATGGACATTAACAAGAGAAGGCACATTCTTCTAGTACAGATAATTTATAAAGGTTGTAAAATGAACACTTAAATATAGTCCCACAGACAAAACCCAGGATTTCTTCTTATACAATAAGAATACTCTTCTGAAAATCTAATTTTCTTTGGATGCAGTTTCAACACAGCAGGGTGAATAGCAGGTATGCTCGTCATTAAAGGCTGTCCAGAGGCCACAGTCACCTCTCTGCACAGATCCAGACACCCTAATAATGCAATTTCTTAATATTCTGCACAATCCCCACAAACAGCAAATTCAAATTAATATGTAAATGATTAGTGATAAAAAAATAGCTTCCAAAAAGCAACATCAAACATCACAGGGAGTCCACTTAATCGCCTAGCCTTGAGAGTCACAGCCTGCCTAATTAATCCAACTCAAGGTTACTGACTATAAGAGTTCATTTACTATGCTGGAGGCCTACATTTCTGCATCTTTGCCATGCTACTGAAACCATTGAACACCCCCCACTGCACGTTGATATATAAACATTACTGCGTGACAGGTGACATGGTGTTTCATCATCAAAGCAAAAGTCTGATTCTGTTCCTGCGCTGCCCAGCACAATGCATGTACAGTACAGTATTGATCTTTGCATCATAATACCTACAAATATATTAAAATTGGATAGCACATCTTGTCAAGAAAAGCACATTTGCATGATCTGGGAGCATTTACTCTTGCCCTTTAAATTATCGGTGGCTGCCCATTATATAGTAGAAGAGTTCGAAATATCACTGCTTACTGTATGCCCCTTTTACCTCTCTCATTCTAGAGAAGCAAAGCTTACATTTCTAACACCAGCACCCCTCATGTCCCTGGGTCCCTATGAAGCACACAGAAAAGCACTTTATCACACAGATCTCAAAAGCACAAAGGAAGTTTGGGGAAAAAAAGCAACATTTTCAAGGGTAGCGGGGTGCTGCTACAGAAATACAAGATAACAACGTTACCTTCAATTGTGGCTCTTTTTGGCAGGATTGTCACAGCCCCTACAGCGGCATCCTCAAGTTGATGAATGGGACTGTATTTGGCTCCCCAGCTGTCTGATCCAATCCACAGGAAATGACCCACTTGGTTTGCTCTTTTACTGGCATTGAGAATCCCCCTGCAGAGCAATCCCAAAATGCACTGAAGCACATAGTGACAGATTCCCCATCAACAATAGCTATTTCAATCATATTCAATGCTCTCAATGTTACGCAAATGTCTCATTCCTAGTAGTATTCCAAATACAGATGTTTCCTTCATGTGCATTCTTGACCAGCAAATCTCAGCTCAAAGAAACTTGAAACTGCACAAGTGCCTGTGCGTGTATTATCTCACAGACACCTTTTAATAAAACAAGGTTAAGTTGCAGAATAATTACCAGAGTGTGTTGCTTATTAATATATTATATATATATATTGACACAGATTTGTCCAGAATTCAGTTATGCAGTTTTGTCATGTAACCTAATTATCACTCAGCAAATTAAACAAATTTCGTTTTTTGAATTGATGGTGATAGACACATGAGGGACTAATTATGCCATTTAAATGCATAGCCTTCTTTGAAGTGAAATACATCAGTCAAGAAAACGACTTAAGGGAAACTGTCCAGAAACCTCAATATTCAGCAAACACCTCATTCCCATAATCCCCTTTAACTCTGGGTAAACATCCCTAGAGACGCTTTCGATTGTCTACTTGGCTATGTCACATTTTCTCAAGACGTTGATTAGAACCAACAGTGGACCAGCCCTTAATACACTGAGGAAGCCAATAACAAGCTAGAATTAATAATAGGTGTTTCCCAATATAATGGATGTAGTATAAAGCAGAACCACAATCCATAAACATCCTGGAATGTAGCAAGCTTTTACCGGAATACTGTCAGAACACACAAAAGCTTGCTAGTGAATTGAACATCCTCTCATTAATGAATCCCTCAGTGTGATGTCTAGTTGACATCATTAAAGACCAAATGAGTGCCGTATTTATCATGCACTAATACATTTCTGAATTTCAGAACATGTACCATGTTGTTTTTGTCTCATTAATCCTTAGTAAGTTGGTTTTAATTAAGTCTCATTTATTAGGTTTGCAATTAAGCCACTATTTCTGTTAACACAGAAAATCCCATTTTGATTTGTTGAGTTGATTTGTCCTGAACATTATAGAAGAATGGTGAACATAACTTTTGGTAATTCAGAATCTCTTCTAATAATCTTATTTATTATGTTGTAATAGGGCAGCTGTCATTCTGGGGGGAGTTTGCATAGTTGTGATCTCTACATAAAATGGAATGCAAGACTCTTCGTGGATAGTTCTTTCTATTTAGTTAATTATTTCTGTGAGGATCTTGGGAAAAAATTGTTCATTTACCATCCCTTTTCCTCCACCGGATGTCCTGGTGTTTCAAACTATATACCGTACTGACAAGTGAAACAAATTCCTTAGTCTTAGCCTACTTTTAAAGAGCACCAACCACAAAGCTTACCATATTAATTTACCAAAACCAGAAAATACTGAGATCCAATTGAGGTGACAGCCAAAAAATGCAACTACAAAACTTTCTTTTTTCTACCTCTATGGTAAAACATGATTGAGACAAGATTGAGATTGGGATTTTTTTTTCTTTCTAGAGCCTATATTTTAAGAAACATCTCAAATCTAATGAAATCACAAATACACATAAGGTTTCTATCAATGAGGGTTTTTTTAAAAATTCTTTTTCAGGCATTTTTAAAACCTTTAAAACTACTGTCAATCTTTTTGTTTTCTAAAGAGTATTAAAAACATGTGAATATTTGTACAGTATGTACCAATATCATTAGGTATATTTTAATCTCTCTCACTATGTTTTTTTCCATGTTAACAAAAAGATACAAATGACACTGTGAATATTACAACAGAGCCTCATCTGCATATCTCACAGTATATCTCTTTTATCTCAGTGGTAACATGGTGTTTACTGTACTTACCTTATATCTTCATCATTAGCAAAGATGACCACCGTCCTGGCATGGCGTGTTTCCAGAAGGTTCCTGATGATTTTATCGAAATCTGACTGCTTGTGTTCATGTGGGATTTTTAGAGACTGAGCAATACAAATGCCACCTGAAAAGGACACAAAAAGGTGTCAATTAAAAAATAAAATGAACAATGACCTAATAATAAGGCTCCTTTAGCAGTTTAAGAGTTCTAATATGATCTTAAAAGGGCATTCTTAAATCGAAATGTATGTGTTCATGTCAGTCTACGTTACATTATTCCAAGACAAAGAATCTCAAAAGCTTTTTAATAAACAAATAGATCTGTAATACAAATGAGAAGCAGAAAGACTAATTGTTTCCACAATGTCCTAAACAGATGCATAATAAACTCAACATTAGACACATTTAATGCTTGTAGACACCTGTGTTACAGCTAATTTGACCTTTCCACATCCATCTTACAGAGATTACAATAAAAAAACTAATAAAATAACCATAGGGCATTTATGAGCATAATTAATGCAATGTGAAAATGAATTCTGGCGTAAATCAGAATACCTAAACAAATGTCCAAATACAGTAAAATGAGCATCATAAAAAGCTTTTCACACTATTTACATACTGTATGCATTTTTTTAAACAACAACATGTACAGTGCATGTTTTGGATATTCAGGTGGGTAGCTGTGTCAGCATGGATAGGCTGCAAAGGAACAGGTAATAGGTTTATTCCATGCTGAAAAGAAAAGAAAGAAAACACAACGTTTCGGCCATGGACCCTTCTTCAGGTCTTCCTCACACCTGAAGAAGGCTCCACGGCCGAAACGTTGTGTTTTCCTTTTCCTTTCAGCATGGAATAAACCTATTACTTGTATATTTTGGACATTGCTTAAATGTTTGGTGCCATTTTGAATAATGGACGATACATGACTGAATGTGATATATTCAAACAGATTTGTTGCAAAGACACTAAATAACCTCATTAGAGAAAGAGAGAACCCTCATGTGAGAGGGTTGATTAAGCGTAGGTAATGAAGTGGTTTAATGTGTTGAATGTCAAGTCTGGTGAAAATGAAAAAATAAGAATACAGGAGCCAACATCTCACTTATCAAATGAGTAACACCTGTGCCATCGGTGTCTGTAGTGGAGGAAAATGTCCCCCATCCCTGGACAAAGGAATATGAAAAATTGTATTCACAGAAGGGGTTTGTAAAAGCAGCTGAACTGGCTTTCACCAGCTAAGCTTCATCTTAGCAAACCACCTCCAGACCTGAAAGTTTTACAACTCATTGGAGCTACCACAGCACGATAACTATAGAAAATAAATTCTCTACTGCTTACATACAGTACATTACTTGTTTATCTCATTTTGTGCTAAAGCTACTGTATACTTCTTAAGGTAGATAAGAGGATGAGGCCCATATCTGGTAATCTTACAGTTTCTATGAGCTCCTCTGGAGATTGTTTCTTCTGCTATCTGTCTGAGTCTTACAGTCCTCATTCCTTTTTTTCTGGCAAGTTGGAAATTTGTATCACATAGTTGAATTTAACCCTCACTTCAAGTGCCACCTCAATGTTGGAGGTGTGTCTACACAATGTCTCCCACTGTCTGGGGTGCACACAGACAGCATTTTTTAGCATGGCAAGACGTAAGCACATCATTGAAGTCCAAGAACAGTCCTTCAATGATAGCGCATGATCTAACATCTCATCAAGATCCATGGGAAGCTCCAAGTGTGATTGCTTGGGTACACATGCCACAAGACACCCTCTACAACCTAGTGCAAAGTAATTGTCACTTTATTGCTTCCAATTGTGGCTACATGCTACTAGCCTGTACTTTACACAGTTTTCTCCCTGCTGACCAGCTGATCCAGTTAAAGATGTTAATCAAAATTATTAATTTAATTTTGTATCCTGCCAAATAAAATGTAAAAAATAGCAGAACAGATTGTTTTTTATACCTGTATGAATCTGTTGCAATTATCAGTGATTTCTTTAGATGCTCAATTATCTGCCGAGAAATGTATGGCTAAATTCAAATGTATCAATGCTAAATCTCTCATGAAGGAATTTCTGTAAAAAAACACCATTTAAAAATATGGGAAGACCGTATTTCAGAGATAACTGTGTACAATATATTTGTTTATATATTTATATACAGTATATGTCAGTTTGGGTCTTCTTTAGGAAAAATACTGAGCTTTACAGCATTCAGTGTTATAGATGGATGGATTGATTGATACTGTACGTAAGTACACCTTACCTGCATTTTCAGTTTTTAAGCAACGGTTCATTTCAAGGACGGACTGACAAACAATCCCAAGTCATTTTATTCCAAACAGTGTGTGTAACAGCTACTGAGTCATGAGGGAAAACAATAATTACCATGAGTGACTAGAAACAGTAATCTGGAAAGCATAAAGTATGGGCTATGGGGTTTCTTCCCAAATAGCTGAATGCTGCCAAGAACAAAGTATCTTGTAGGTAGCTACTGGAGCTAGATATATTTGGGAAGGCTGCAAAAAACATGTGCAAGTGAAAGATTTAACTAAGAATGAAATTCAATTTACCAGGCAGAGACGAAAATCAAAGACAGGGAAAGCGTGTCTTTCAGTACTGCTACTTCAGTGTATAAAAAGGCATGGATCCAATCCAGAGACATTTGTTCTGGGTTAGAGATGAAGGTCAGAAGGTGAAGAACGTGATGAATAACCCTGGACAGCGAAGCATTAAAAAGTCAAATAACTAAGGCTGAGGCGTCTTCTCAAACCCTGTACCCCCCAGGAACATAAAATATTTTACATTTTACATTTTCTTCAGGCTTGGAAAGGACAGAGAGAAATGTGGCCTAAAATGGGCCATTAGCAGCTTGAAATCTTGCTCCAACCTACGGCATAAGTACTCAGGTACTGTACATATAAAAGACGTGTCATAACATACAATTTGCCATAAAGTTTTAGAAGTAACACAACATATTGTAACACAAATCTCAAACACATTGTTATATTTTAACAAATTATTTTACCATCACTCTTTCTTAAATTTTATCTTTTCCCATTTGAATATACTGTCAAAGATGATGTTTTCTGTATTTGTAATGATGTATTTATAGCACATGGATAAAAAGAACTGGAAAAGTGGCTGTCAACAATCTTGCTAAAAGGGGTAAATACAAGTGCACAATATAATGAAACAGTGCCTAAATGAAAGAATGAGAAAATAATAGACCTGCTGATTCACTGGGATTCAGTAGACAACTGATTACAAACAACTACTGTGTATGAGAAGAGATAATTCCAATGCCAGTAGTTATATTATTCTATGTCTCCTTATGTACAAGAATTGTTGGTGGAATAAATACAGCAAATAACATTATATATTAAGCACCCTCCACCCTTCCCCTCACTGATCATCACACCCCAGGTGGCAATTGCATGACTCTGAGTAGTCAAATAGGTTCACTACGTTCACTGGATAAAGTTAAAGTGAATCAGCTCATGGTCAAGGATTTAAAGGCAATCCTGAAATTTTTTTAAGCAGTATCAGAAAAATGTCCTAAACTACCTGACGTATGCTCTTAGCCCAGATGCACTGATCACCAGTGGTATAAAAATGTAATATTTTGATATGAGGCGAGTGCATAATCAAGAGACCTGTCTTATTGTTCTGCTTATTACACACATTATTTAATGGAAGGTATTAATGGAATCTCTACGTCTCATGGAGAAAAAATAACTGAAAAAGATGGAGGGAAAATATCCAGTATATCCAAAAGATTATACTGTAGCATGCTTGCAGATTTAAAAAATATACAAAGACAATCTATCATACCACTTGCCAAGGTGTTTATTCCCAAATTTTCCAAAAAGAGAAGGGATGAACACCATGGAAGACAGCATTCAAATAAAAAGGTGAATGCAAAATCAGAAAAAAACCTCTCAACATAATCTGGCCCTGACTAGCAAAAGTCTAGCAATTTGACACCCTTGGGGAAGAACAATGAAGAATAATGTGCAAAGACCACTGAGTTGAAGATCATCCAGTTGTATCAACTGTTATTTCTTTGCACCCCATAAAATGTTTATTTAAAATCTGCATTGTTTATTCACTTTTACTTTAATAGAGAAGTTCTGTCTTATATAGAGGTGCTGTTGCAATGCACTGCCTCTATATTTGTACTTTCATGTGGCAAATACCATTGCTCCGACCAGCAGGTATTCATTCAATTATCAATATCCACTCTTCCTTTTAAGTCATTTGCCCAGACAGCTCCATCCAGTGTAGCCATCTTCCTATTTAATATATGACTAATGACTCTCATTTGCAATGTTACTGTGTGTTCTTATAAAAATACTTACAGTACAAATACACTAATACTAATACTGCACACAGTAGATGTGAATCCATAAGTTTACCTTTGATGTCAGATCAAAGTTGGAAATAATAAGTGCCTAACATATCAAACAATTAAATCAAATCATCCAATTAAACAAAATAGACCCAATCCACAACTCCCCCATTCTAACGAATTAACACGGGCATAGGGCCCCCATAAATAACTTGATTTGTACAGTTGAGTCACAGAAAGAAAGAAACAGAAAGATGAAGTGAATGAGCACTGTTGTTGAACATCATTTATGAACTAACTAAAATGGAAACTGCTCTGCAATGGAAAGGAACACTTACTGTGAATTCCTGAATAAATTATTAAACAGAACCCCCTCAGGGATATTTTCAAACTCTGCAAATGCTGTTTGCCCCCAGCTAATGTGGAATAAATCATTACTTAACTTTCATGCTGATACAAAGTTGTAAAAGTAACATTTTCCCTAACACAACACTTACAGTATTTTACAATGTCAAAAGGAGACTGTGATTATGGGTCAATGTCAAAATATGGTAGCATGACACCAAACCAATTTTTTTCACAACAGGGAGCCAAATAGCAAGTTCAAGTAACATTTTAGTCCATTCTGTACCTGAATTCTATTTGTATTGAACCAATTTTTAAAGTTTAAAGTAATTGGTGGCCTAAATTTACATTACAATCCCAGGACACATCAAACTAAATATATTACCTTCACAAAATCAGGTCTGTTTCTGTAATTTCATAAGTTAGTA